TCTTTATCTCTACCATTAGAATCTTTGTGGTCCCTCTAACCCACCCCACTCGTCATTTTTTCTCGGGAAGTGTCGTAGGCAAAATCCCCGATTTGGCTCCGCCGGAACATCTCGGGAGAGCTCGCCGCTGGCGGCTACGTCCCTCCCAGAGACTGTTGCGCACCTCCACCTGACCGCTACGAGTCCCTAAGAATGATGGTGCGGTCTTCTTCCGTCGCCATGCCCCCAATCACCGGCGAGGGTCGTCAAGAGCCCCTCCTCCGCTCGGCCAGAGGAGGGAGAAGGCCGGTTTGACCAGGGCCAAACCCGACCGAAGGTCCCCGCGCGTCAGTGACTAGGGCGTGCCTGAGCCATCCTAAGTGATGGCATATTTCGGAAAGTATGCCTCCCTGTCTCGTAAGCGTATTCGTTGCCGAAGCGTTTTTTTTATTTTTTTATTTAAAAACAGAAATTTGACCCAACTTTGACTGTCTCTAGTCCTTAAACCATGACTCCAAATAAATTGATTCTTTTTTTGTTCTCCTTCAAATTTCATCTAGTTTATTTTAGTATTTATTTCAAAAAAAATAACTTTTATGTACTGTTTTGGAATTATGTGGTAACTTCATTATTTCAAAAATAGGAAAATGGAGGGAAGATTATTTTTACAAACTTTTGGAGTGCACCCAACTCTTCTACATCACCAAGGCAAGCATTTTGAACACTTGATATGATGATTGCTTGGTTGATTGCTTGCTAGAATTTTTGAAACATGCCTATGTTACCTCATATGAAATTTGCACATAGATCATCATGCATATGTGATTCCTTGTTAGTATTTTACTTCACCTAAACATGAAATAATGGTGCCACGCATTCCTATGCCTGTTCTGACTAACCTACAGGAAAAAATATTGTCACCAGTGAAAGTGGTCGTAAGGCAGAAATCTCGTTGTGACGAGAATGATCAGTGAGGGCATGTTGGGACATGCCAGATGGTGACCCTGTTGGGTACCACTAAGGAGATATATTGTGCTAATCATTGCAGGAAAATATAAACCTCCTGAGTAGACCGTAGATCGAGTCTTGCTCCGGTAACCCCCATACTTGATTCGTGCTACTACATGTCCCTCCCACAGGTAGGGTATGGTTCAGTAAGTTGTTAACCCCTTTTCCGCACACACCATACAGAGGGCCGCGATGAGGGTTTCCCGGTTCTAGGAATAATGCCAGTCATCGGGTCAGGGCCATGGGTGTATGCGGCTGAGGCCGAGAGGAAGCACCTCTTAGTTAGCGCACGGTATAAATTGTGATCCCATGCAAGGTTGTGACCTCTCCATCTTAGAGTTTTTCTTGAGTGATGCTTTGGGTGATTCCTGACATCAGGAAAGTTAAGCTGGTGTGTGCTGGTTAGGTGTGTTTTTAACCCAAAGATTGTAATGGGAATTAGTCAGCGCATCGGTGCTGGCTAAAGAAATCCTTTACTTGTGGGTAAAGAGTACAACCTCTGCACAGTATAAAACCTATCTGAATAGCCGTGTCCACGGTTAAAGACTACAGTCTGAAATGGGTCAAGTGTCGGTCTTAGTATTGATCTTGAGAGGAAAAGGAACTACATCAGAAATTGACTAGATTTACGATGGAAGATTGTGATCACTAATGTTATTATGGACTAACCCTTTCTCTTATATTAAATGTTGAGTATCTTTGGGAAGGTTTTACCACCTGGATACTCGTGTTTTTATTTTCTTATAATCCCTTTATCAGGCGTCGCTTCAGACACCCGACTGCGGCATTTATTTTCAAGACCTTTTGAGGCATCGCTTAAGACGCCCGACCGGCACATATATGATTTTCTTTTTGGAATTCACTGGACGGTTCTACCGCCTAGAATTCCCTTTGTCTTTGATTTCATTTGAAGTAAAGCCCCTTGCGTGGCGTCGCGAAGACGCCTAACTATGGTATTCTTTTACCTTTTTCTTTTGGGTTCCTTTGAAACGGTTCTACCTCCTGAGGCCCGAATTTAAATTTCTATGCAACATTATGATTTACTTATACCCTATTGATATTAGTTGACAACCTTTATTAATTGTGCATATATAATACTTCACATGATAGCATTAAATTCTTATCATGGCATGGTAGAATATACTTAAAATTAGTTGAATGCATTTTTCCTGCTTTTATTATATTTTTTGTTCATGATGTTTGCGAGTACATTCAAACGTACTCACTGGCTTGTCCCTGGCTATTATCTTGACCAGATTTACGATTCAGAGAGGAGTACTACGAAGACACCCCGCAACCTAGAAAATGGAGATAGCAGCCACGTGAGATAGAAGTTAGCCAGGCCAGTTGTTCCTGTGGGAATGGAGTTCCATCAACGTTGGAGATCGACGAGTCGCTTTCGTCATCCACCACTAGAGATCATTGTTATACTCAATGGGCCTTTATATGGTCTTGTACCCAAATTCTTCTAAACTGGTTGGAATTCTGTATCAAGGAAATGTCCACCAGCAACAGTAATCCTGGGGTTGATGATGACATAAGGGTCATTTGCTGGGATTTTATGTCCTGAAAAACCAGCCCTGACAGCATCCAATCATCTCGGTTGGTGCGGGCTGGCTATTTATAGCCATAACAATCCTGGAGAGGAAATGCTATAAGGGCTTGGAGCCAATCCAATAGCCAACCAACACGTTTCCAACAGTCGGATTTCAAATGCACCCGACAATTTTACTTGAGGAACAAGTAAAGCTGACTCCTCTACCAGAGTATTTCTCTTGCAGCCTAGAAGAATATCTAGCTCGCGAGTAAATATCTCGACGCACTTCTCTTGCAGCCTAGAAGAACATCTAGCTCGCGAGTAAATATCTCGACGCACGAAGAGATTTCTATCGACTCACATGGGATAAGTTTCGGTTAAGCATCATAATAGACAAAAGTCCGGAGATACTTGAACCCCTCTTAATCATACAGTGGTCCTATGACTCAAAAGAAGGAAATGAAACAATGGAATAAATGCTATGTTTTTACTTTGTCTTCATTCTTCTCTGCTTCAATCATTTTCTATTGGACACCTCGCGTATAAATTGCTTCACGTGAGCAACATTTTTAGGCCAACTCCGACACGCATTCTTCTCGGTTGCAAACTCCTCAAAGCTCATCAATCTTCTTTGCAGCTCAGATAACACTCTCGGAAGTTTACAGCAAACTTCTCTGAAGATTATAGCAATCTTCTTGAAACTCCAGGGACTACTTTCTTTCTATGTGCACTAACAAAATTCAGTCCCTCAATGTTTCTGACAACAATATCCAAAACATAAGGGGACATTGGACTGCACCAACTGTTGTTTTTGCTCCATCGTGTCCGCAACACCGCATAGCTCCTGCTACAAGTAGATGACATAATTCTCACCATCAGCTCTTCCACCTTTCTGAAATCCATCACCACCTTGCTGCACCGTGAATTCGCCATGACCGATATGGATTCTCTCCACCACTTTCTTGGGATCAATGCATCACAACAGTACCGGTCTCCACCTTTCTCAAGAACAGTATGCCCTAGACATTTTAGATCGTCACGGCGATGTTAAACTGCAAGTTGGTCTCTACGCCCATCGACATCAATGCAAAATTATCCTCTACAGATGGTGTCCTTTCCATGATCCTCACTATCGTAGTCTCGCCGGGGCTCTCCAGTACCTCACCCTCGGTCGCCCTGATATATCTCCTGTTGTTTAACGATGTTGTCTGGTCATGGGGAAGCCCACTACCAGATGGTGAAGCGGGTTCTTCGCTATGTTCATGGGACCACACGCCTTGGCCTGTCAGTTATTTCGGACGTCCCATGGCAATTTGACGTCATACTAGGACGCAGATTGGGCTGGGTGCCCAGACACCCACAAATCTACGTTTGGCTTTGCAGTGTTCCTCGGCTCCAACCACGTCAGCTAGTCGTCGAAATGCCAGAACATTGTCTCGCAATCGAGCGCTGAGGTGGAGTACAAGGGCATTGCCAACGCCCATCGTTGAGGTTGTGTGGCTTCGACAACTTCTCACCAAGATTCGTCGGCCGTCGCCGTGCTTCGGCAACTTCTCACCGAGATTTGTCGGCCGCCGCTGCGCCACGTGTTCCTCAGCTCCAACCACGTCAGCTGGTCATCGAAATGCCAGAACATTGTCTTGCGATCGAGCACCAAGGTGGAGTACAAGGGCATTGCCAACGCCCGTCGTTGAGGCTGTGTGGCTTCGGCAACTTCTCACCAAGATTCGTCGGCCGCCGCCGCACCACATGTGACAACGTGAACGCCATGTATAGCCACGTGTGACAACATGAACGCCATGTATATGTCAAGCAATCTCGTTCAGCACCACCGCACCAAGCATGTGAAAATCGATCT